CGACCTGCTAGAAGACGTGATTTTCTACACAGCGCATTTTCTCTGGCGGATAATCCTGTGATTCAGCAGATTTTTTCCAAAAACGAAAACAGTCGCGCTGATGGCCCGTTTATCGTTCCTTAAACTTAACCGGACTCCAAATCACATGTGCATATTAACCTGTGCACGTTCGCTGATTGAGAGTATAACCTTGAGCCGTTTTCATAAGCACAACATCTCTGGCTTGTGACGTCTGCTGCATCAGCTGCTTTTTAACATTTTTGCGAAGGAGCAGGAAAAACAGCTGGACTGGACTGTTTACAGCGGCTTTGACCTTAACGCGTACGGAAGACTAGGTCTGTGTACCACTTAAGCAATGACTCTAATGGGAAGAGGTTGCGAAAACAAAAGTTGGCTCTGCGAGACACACTGATTCAACAGAAATCATTTACTCCAGTCCATGAGCTCATCATTATTCATTCAGCCAGATTCTGAATGTGATGGAAGTCGAAACACGGCGGATGTCGACCGGAAGGCCAGCATACAACGCGGAGGAACAAGACAGATGCAGATCAGCGTTCAGCGAGGAATATTTACTTCTATGATACAGTAACCAGCGCATGATAAATGATCCTTCGCCTTGTTAAAGTTAATGAACGACAAAACCGGAAAATCTTTTATATGTGCCTGGGCGGTTCTGAACTCTCCTCTTCAAAACTGTTTGTTTATTGCCATTAGTTCAATAACATCTTTTAAAAGTGCTTCGAGATGAATCCTTCGGTTTTTCACCAGGTGCTGGTTCATGGTAGTTTCTTAAACGCAAGCCTGACTGAAAAAGTAAATATTTAAACATGCTCATCCATCCATGTTTAATCGGCTATTCCTTCTTTAGTATGAGGAGGATTTTGTAGCAGTCCCGGTTATTTACCTATGGGGCAAGTACTGCATGTACTCGAGTCATCTGGTTCTCGGTCTTTGCTTCTCTGTATTTAACATGGTTTGCAAACGTTTGTTACTGTTTGTGATGCGGTAGAGGTAATTACTCTGATTGCCATCGATACATGATGACTTCCATACAGATGGTTAGACGATGATTATTCATAATACCGCAAGTTTTCCGAAATGCAATGCGAGGCCTCTTTGGGGAGATGTTCATTTTTGAAGATCTGATTTATTGACGTCGACTCGTGGATGGAATCTGTTCATCGCAGGATCTTCACCTGACCTCATTAGTAGATAGGGACATGCATGCAATAACCTCACATTAGCCAACTTCCTGATAAATGGCATAGAAACAACCTTGCCAATCGTTTCTAAGTTCCCATGGTATTCCGTATCTTTCTTTTATGAACCAAAATACTCTGCCTGTTGTGGATGTACTGTATGTGACGCATCTTCTCTGATATAAATTATTGGATCTTCCCTCTGAGACCCCATGATGTGGCCAATGACAGACAACATGCTATCTGTAAGAAAGCATCATTTTTAGTGCTGATCCTCTGGTCGATATTTAAAAATTATAGGTGCAGCGCCGATAATTGTAGTTGATTTTCAACAAGTACATCTATGTACATTTATTATCCTACCAATTATGAAATAGTTCGAGACCGTGCAAAGTAGAACCGCACTAAAAAGGGCAATATTGAGGGGGACTTATACCTTGCACCTTTTGGCCCGCATCTCGCATAGCATTGGGGATTAGATTTTGTTCTGGTTTTGCATACCTTAGGCATTGCCTGTACGTATCCAACAAGAATTTTATGTACGTGCAAGACTATTATTCTAGGGTATGCGAAGCTATGAATACTACGACATCGCAGATAGCGCTGATAAACAACAGAAACCTAATTAGAAAGAACAACCCTCATCTATGATCTGACAAGCATCAATTTCAGATTCTATTTAAGAGCCTAACACAGTGCAAAACACAAATTAATAACTACGAAAATGAAGACCTGTTTGAAAACACCCACTTACGCTTTCCTCACCCGTATATTTGAAAGCCTTTATTTGACTCGTTTGTTCTACGAAGGAGCATAGTTACCATGGCGACAGAACCAAATCAAACAAACCTCAGTGATTCTTGATCGCACATTTTTAGCTCGTCAACCTCCATGTCTTTTCTCACTCTGGATATTTTACATATATTGCAAATATTTTTCGACTTTATGCTTACAAACGCTGTCTACTAATTACTGACAGCGATCGAAGAAAGACTGGTATTCATTCAGACTGGAAATCATCTACCTGAATTACAACCTGCGTTTTGAATCCTGAACTAGAGCATTGTTGCTAATAAAGGAGCTAAAGTTTTGTAGTAGAGTTGGTGGATACCTTACCAACAGACTGAGATTCAGACGTAGCGTTATCAATCATGTAGTAGTTTTCAGCTTTTGAACTTTGTGTATGAAACTGGTCAGAATCATCTGGCTTTCTTCTTCAGTTGTAGGCATTTGGACTCATTCAACTGCCAACGTTTCTTCAGAGCCACTCTTACGGTGATGATCATGTTTGCTGGCGTGCGTGCAGTAGTGAGGGACGTCGTCGGTCACGTGGAGTTTCACTCCCCCACTCGATCTCGACTGTTGTATCGAGGTCTGCACTATAATTGTTCTCGGCGGTCGCATATCCTTTCTTAATGTCATCGAAATACCGTACTTGTCTCTCCTGAAGGCATTAAAAACGGGAACGTTGAACATCGGGTTGCTCTAAGTCGTATTCATCAGTTTTCAGCTCCGCACAGGAAATACGTAGGACCACATTACAAGAGCGTTACACGCTTTCCTATGTTGCCGTATTGAAGGTCCTGTTTTCGCGATCATAGCCATCAGCTACATACAATGAGATTCGAGAGGCCTCAATTTATCAGCCTCTTGTTGCTGCCACGTGATTGCATTCTGTTGAGTTCTGTTGTATCAGCTGTAGTTGTCGCAAACGTGGATGAATTGTTATTTGACGGTCACCGATATCATCCAAATGGAACCAAGGCATTGAAAGGAAGTGACGAGTCGCATTACCAACCTAATAATAATGGAACGTGACTTTTGCAGGTGTCATCATCTTGTGTTGGCCAGATAAAATTTTGCCAGCGGATTTGGACCAGGTTTTGTAGATCTGCAGGAGATGCTGAGACTTGTTTTTGTTTGCCTGTTTGTGCTTGTTGTGATCGTCACCTTGAGCCGTTTGCTCAGCCATGGTGTCTCCGGTTTGTGACCTCGCTGCATCAGCAGCTTTTCGATAATTCTGCTGTGATTCACCGGCATCGGCATCGTGGATAGAAATTTTCATCTCTTATTGCAGATCTACCTCTAAGTCAAGTTCATGCAGTTCCTCCATGTTTAAGCCGGCCTGTCTCGGCTCTTAAACGAGATACTCGCGGGTTTAAGCAAATAATTTTGCTGAGCCAATTTGTCCAGCAGGGTCACTCTTCCTTTCTGAACCACCATATCTGCGTAGGTCACCTTTCTCGAAAGATCACAAAGTCGTTCCTTACGAAGACCTGCATTTAACGCTGGTTATGCGTCAAAGTCAACCCCGGAGGTACGCAGTTCAACCGTGGTTCTTGGTCTTTCTTCGGAACAATTCTCGTCATGCCGTGCAACACTGACCTCACCGAGGTAAGACACAGACGGACAGACTTTTGCGGAAGGAGTAACTTTTTCCTCAGCCCAAATATTGCACATCACTAGTCGCAGTTTCAAGTTTGGCTTTTCAGTGTTCTCGAAATCACCAGTGAAGCCTTACAACGCTGACAGCGTAAACGCTTTGTCAAATAAGCAAAAGTAAATATTTGTGACAACGAACACCAGTGAGATTTCACACCCGTTTCGCTAACGGAGAAATAATTTGACTCACTGATAAGCTTTAATACTGTCAAGAAAACAGAGCCAAAGTGATTATGGGAATTCA